ATTTATTCGTTTTATACATATTTATATAATCCAACCTCTCATAATCACCTCTCTCAATCCACAATCCCCACTGGAATAAAAACTTCACCCAATTATTAAAAAAAAAAAAAAATCACTCAAAATTAAACACAAAAAATGTCGAACCTCAGATTAGATTTCGACTTCGATTCACTACGAGACCTTCACGAATCGGTGAACAAATCGCTCCATTCCTCGCACGCCAAGCTCGAGATCGTCGCCAACCACCGGGAGAGCCTCGCGCACGACCTCTCCGAATCCTCGCTCAAAATGGCGGACTCGTGCGCCGCCGCCAAGGACCTCCTCCTCGTGGCCAAAACCCACCTGCAGGACCTCCAGTCCGCCTTCCGGAGAGCCGCAGACGGCGAGCAGCGGCTCTCCTCCCAACGCCTCCCGCGAAAGCAGCTGAAGAAGGCGATCCTCAAGAGGTTGGACTCGCTGAAGGGCGCGGGCGTGGCGGAGCCGCCGCCGGAGGAGGGCGGGAGCCTGGCGGCGGTGGTGGAGGTGCTGGCGGAGGTCCGGTCGGCGATGGTGGGGGTGGTCCGGTCGCTGATGAGCCTGATTGCGCTGCCGGAGAAAGGTGGTTCGGGGAGGAAGGATCCGATTTTCAGGGTGAGGCTGAGGAGAGTTGACAGCCTGCGGCTGTGGGAGAAGTGCGACGCGGCGGAGGTGAGGAAGAGGCTGGAAGAGGTGGAGGCGGTGGTGGAGGAGATGGAGGAGGAGCTCGACAGGATGTTTAGGAGGTTGATTAGGACGAGGGCCTCGCTGCTAAACATACTTACAACATAGATAAGATATTTGGTTAATGGGATTAATAATTGATTAATCATGTTATTCTTCTTGGGATTAATTGTGTGTAGGTTAGGGTTAGTCTAATTTGTTACCCAATTGGTCCAGGTTGGAATTTCATTCTTTGATTCTTGGTTAATGAAATTTGGAGAATTTTTTTTCCGCCAAATGTTTTCCTCTTTTTCATTATTATTATTATTATTAGGCATAATTGCTTTCAAAACCTTGATCTTTTTACTAAATTGCAAATAAATTTCAACTTTTTTAAATTTGCCATTCAATTTTAACCTTTTAATTATGTTACATGTTAAGCTCCGTTTGATTTTCCGACACCCTCTTTACTGATTTGTCCAGCGAATTGATGATATGTCCCGGCAACAATCTGACGTGACTTTTTTTTGTCACAAAATATACATACATTCATTTTCACTTCATAATTTCTTCATTTCTTCTACATTCTCAAATTCCTAATTTTTTTCCTTCTGCAACCCTAACGTGAGATATGTGGAATGCTCATCGTTCCCGTTGCTTCTTCTATTGATATTGGCTCTCAAATTTTCCAGCTCCTCAAATTTGGGGATGAAAAATCTCGAATTAGGGTTGCAGAGAGAAAATTTTTGGAAATTGTGGAGTATATAAGAAAGAAAGAAATTATGAAGTGGAAATGAATGTGTATTTTTACGATATAAAAAGACACGCCGTTTCTTGCTGAGAAATATCATCACTTAGTCGGACCCATCAACAAGGAGGAAGTCGGAAAACAAATTGGAACTTAACATGCAACACAATTAAAAGGTTGAGCATTTAATGGCAAACTCAAAAATGTTAAAATTTATTTGCAATTTAGTAAAAGGTGAGGGTCTTTTGAAGCAATTAGGCCTTATTATTATTATTATTATTATTATTATTATTATTATTATTATTATTATTATTATTATTATTATTATTATTATTATAGGTAGCACTGTCAAACGGGCCGGTCCGGTCCGGCCCGCGGTTCAAACGGGGCGAGCCAAAATGGCCCGCATTTCTACGGGCTGGGAAATCCATGGCCCGTAGCCCGCTCGCATTAGCCAGCGGGCCAAATCGGCCCGCCCGCCTTTTTTTTTTTTTTTTTTTACTTACTGTTTTTTTTTATTATTATTATTATTGTTTTTTTTGCAATTTATAATGCAATTTTGGTTTTTAAATTCAAACTATAAAAAGAAAAAAGGAACAATGGGAATAGAATTACTTGTACAACATTTTGATCTCGATGGTGACCATATATTGTGATTGAATTGTGGTAAAATGCAAAATGAAATTAAAAACTTCCATCCTTTAATAATTGGCTATTTTTAATAATTGTTGTTGCTATTATGCTATATTAAGGAAAGTGATTGGATTGAGACATTTAAAAGTGGACGACCAATGTTTTGTCAGCTCCATCAAATCTCTATCTTGCTCAAATTCTTCACGTCTTTACATTTTTATTTCATATTTATATTATACAATTAAATTCAAGAAAAAAAAATAATACAATACTTGTAATAAAAAAAATATTACATTTTATTTCATATTTATATTATACAATTAAATTCAAGGCAAAAAAAAAGAATACAAATATACAATACTTGTCATAAAAAAAAAACAA